AAAAGCAAAGGGGTGTATGACTGGTCCCATTATTTGTTCAAAATTACTGATCCAATTTTGGGCTTTTCGGAACTTGTGAATACGCGGTCTTCGAGACTCATTTGTATGTCGGTAATGCAACTCCGGAATTGTCGCACCGCGCCGCCGCGCGAGACGCCGCGACGCGATGTGCGCGACGTGACCTGACTTGCCGACGATAGAATCGCCCGGGTCCCAATTTCCCAGTCGCTTACGCTGCCGCACGCTCGGAACGCTAATGGTCGCTGGTGGACGCTGCCGCAAAGTATGAACGCAGCCTGATACTGAGTGATCATTTAGGACTTGGTAGACAAAATTCGAACGGCAGGGTGACGTATACTCAAGAGAGCAGGTCATCAAAGGAAATTGGGGAATTTGAAGAGCCAGTTCTTCTGCATATGAATCACACTACCATGACTAATTATTTACATGTGAGTTTGAATAAGGGCACCATTTGTTCCAAACCAAGTGAGCATCATTTCTTAAGGCGTTGGCAGATAGATATCCGAACCTCACCCATCTATACTCCATTGGTACTTCAGTTCGTGGACGCCAACTCTGGGTGTTGACAATTTCGAGGTATCCACGGAAACATGAAACAGGAGTTCCAGAATTCAAATACATTGCAAATATGCATGGTAACGAGGTAAATAGTTAGATATGTCATTAACTGAGAACTAGTTCTCAGGTTTCATGCATTCAGGTATCAGGTCGGGTCTTTCTGCTGGGCCTAGCATGGACTCTGCTTCACAATTATTATACTAATGAATGGATCCGAAATCTTGTCGATACCACACGAATACATCTACTGCCAACGAATGAATCCGGATGGGTGAGTGAATCTAACATAATTGAGCTGGGTGTGTGGTCCCACCGCATGCCACCGATCGAAGTGGTCGTCACAGATTTGGAGTGTATTCTGGTCCCGCATTGGTTGTGTTCTATAGTTCGCGTCGAATGAAAGCATCCTCTATCTACGCTGCGCTCGCTACTGCGTATTTGTGCCGTTGTTCTTCTTTGTCTACCTCTAGCCCCTTTGCATCCCTTCTATCCCACTCCTTCCCAAGAACATGTGATGTGAGGCTGCGTTCATACTTTGCGGCAGCGTCCACCAGCGACCAATAGCGTCCACCAGCGTTCCGAGCGTCCGGCAGCGTCAGCGACTAGGAAAGTATAGATATCGATCTAGCGTCTGCCAGCGTCCACCAGCGACCAGCAGCGTCTCGAGGGCTGGAGAAGTATAGGTATCGATCCAGCGTCTGCCAGCGTCCTTCAGCGACCAGCAGGCTCGAGGGGCATAGGTATCAATCTAGCGTCTTTCAGCGAATACGACAGGAGGGTAGGAGATTCCTGGTACCTTCCCCCCCTCTCGCCCCACTCTCTACCAATAGTCTGCTGCTGGTCGCTGGTGGACGCTGGTAGACGCTGGCAGACGCTAGATTGATACCTATACTCCGCAGAGCCCTCGAGACGCTGCTGGTCGCTTGTAGACGCTGGCAGGCGTCGGATCGATTAGGTAGATTCTACGTCTTCCTAGTCGCTAACGCAGCCTGACGCTCGGGCCGCTGGTGGATGCTGCCGCAATGTGCGAACGCAGCTTCACAGTTATTTATGCCATTGTTCTTCTTTGTCTGCCTCTGGCGGGTGTGCATTTCTTCTCCCCGCCCTTTAACAAGAGCATGTGCTGTTGGAGAGTGGAGGATGCCGCCTGACCATCGGCTGTACTCTGCAAAGCACCATGTTTGCAGAGAAAATGCGTCAGAAAGGTAAGGATTTAGAGCGAAAGAGAGGCAAAGAACATCTGTAGGGATAACAGTGGAGAGCGGAGGGTCATCGTGGATCACGTCTTTTGAGGAAAAGTATAGCACGCTGCTCAGAGTGTGCTTGGGGTTCAGCAAGTTTGCAAAGAACTTAGTTGCATATGCCCGTTTGTACTGTGTGGCAATTTGCTCTCGGACGTTTTCAGGTCTTTATCACTGTGTGCCAGGCTATCAGTGTGGGCTGAGCATTCAAGCAAGTACTATAATACTAG